CTCCCCCAGCCCTTTCTCTCCACAGTCGCTCCGGCGGATTAGGCAGGAGCACTGGAGGGTCTGGCTGCAAGCCTGAAGAGCAAATGCCCAGCCTCCTTCCAGCCCCGGCTGCGTTTGCTGGGCGCCCCAGAGGAGAGCAGCTATTGGGAACAGAGGGAGCTAATTACGTAGCAAAATTATCTCCAGGGTGCAATTGGCCTGCAGCTGCTGATGGTAATGAGGGCCTGGAGCAGGACACACAGATGTCCCTCTGGCAGGGACCCACGGGAAATGCCTTTTTCTGCTTTGCAACTGCATCTTAGCAGGAAAACAGGGCAGTGGGGCTGAACCAGAAAGAGAGGATTGGATTTTGAGGCACTTTTGCAACTTTTACAGCATTGTATTTTACTCCTAATTGTTTTTTATACTTAGAAGTGGTTTAATCTACTGAGATTTTCATGCTCAGGTCTCCAGTAAACTGATCTCCTCTGTAGTTATAGAAATCCCTGCAACTAATCACACTCTTCAGAGGCAGAAAACATGAGGAGGCAAGCTGAACATTAACTGCAGCTGAAGGGGTTTCTTTGACTCTATTTTTAAAATCTTCAATATTATTAAATAATAGCCTTATTGAAAATTACTCGTAGTTGCTACTTGCCCAGCAGCAGCTCTGCCTGGGTTCTGCTTACACAAATGCCCAGGTCTTACTGCTTTGTACTTGTCTCTCGGTGTTTGCAAACTTTTACTGGTTTTGTCTTCGTACATGCTGCCTTTTCTCCGGCAAAACTCTTTTCCTTCCTCTTTCCACGGTAGCTTCAAGATGAAATTAGACAGGCGCTCCCAAACCCACAGTCACGTAACTAGAGGAGTAATGCATCTCGAACAGAAAAGGCTGAATTGAAAATGCTTCCTCAACAAAGTCGGGGCTTCTGGGCCGGAGCTCGGAGCTGCCAAGCAGCTAGGGCCGTTGTCCAAACGAGAGAGCCCCTGGCACAAAGCCCCTCATTTGAATGAACGCCTGCAGGGTGTTTTGGGGTTTTTTAATATGACAACCAGCAGTTTTACTAGTTTGAACACTCCACGCAGAAGATAAGGAACAGCCATTCACTTACTCCCCTGGAATTTTTCGGGTGCTACCAGCATTTGAAATGATCTAGAAACGCAAGTAACAAAGCCACAACTCCTGGCCACAAAACTACTTTCAAGCACAATTAAATATTCTCTGGTATTAATCCCAGCGAGGTGCCCTGCCACGCCGGGGACACCCACCGCAGACCGTGGGGGCCCTCGCTGGGGCACGGACCCCCTGAGGGGCTGTGGTGGCGGGTGTCCCACGCCTGGCAGGGACAGAGGCGTGGAGGGGGTGGAGGGGTGGAAGAGAACGGGCAATAATCACAGAGCAGCAGCTGCCAGCCAGCTTCTCCCCCAGCCCCAGTGCCACCGTCACCTCCTTGAAGGGACTGGGGTGGACTGAGTGCTCCCCCCTCCCCCAAATAAAGTTGAGACTAGGAAGGGGGCGGAATGGTGCTCACTTAAGTGTTTGCTTAATTCTTCAGGGTTTATTCTTTCTCAATCACTCGAATCAGTGATGAGAAGTTTGTGCTAACTGGCAATACATTAAATGAGGTGAAAGCTCGTGGGGTTGAGACCATTTTGCCCATGACAGTTTTACCTCTAAGATTTCCCAAGGAAAGCTGGGCAGCGAGTCCACTTCCACCTGCCTGCATCCCCAAGAACAGCCCCCAATTT